TGAAAATGATATTGAATTTATATCCAAACTGACCACCACAATTTCTCTTGAAATTCTTGTTATTGGTATAATCAAAGATTTTGACACTTAACAGCTAAAAGCAAGAAATGGCCTTATCTTTTGATTCCTGGAAATTATTTATAGCCAATAGAGTGACAGATTCATTGTGGGACTCTTGTTTGTTTTGAGAATTCATTCTAGAATCTAGAACTGAGGCAAATATCAATTCCAAACAAAAACATGGAAGATTTACATAATCAGGAGTATGGCATAGCTTTGTATGATCATGGTCAGAAAACCTTATAGCATTTCTTCAAATCATCTTAATTTCTTCTGAGTTGATTCACTCGCTTGCCTTAAAGAAAACATCAGTGAGAATACTTTGCCAAAAGTTCACCAGAGAAACATTTGGATTATTACAGGGTAAGAAAGGGAGAAAATCACTGGAAAGAGGTGAACAACTCACATGTCAAGTACAATGATGAAAGCAGTATGATACCTTCATGGAAATATTTGTACTATTCAGTAGTTGGAACAATAAGCTTCTGTAAGCTAAAACTTGTAAAGAGAAACTTTTTAAGTCAAGATCACAATCAATATATCACCATAATTAAATAAAGTATTTGTATTGTTAGATATTGTAAGCAGGTAGGTTTCTGGATCATCTCCTGCAATGAATTTGCTGTGATAATGTGACTTTCAAATGACATTGTTTGTAAATTATGTACATGTATTGCAATGGCAGTATGTGTCCTTTTCCCAGTTGTATAAAGCTCTAATGGCCATAGACTAGAAGACCTGATGATCTGTTATGGTCTGTTTTTCATCATCTATTCATCTATTAACACAAATTTGTTAATGCCACTCTTAAACATATATATTCATCCCAAGGTCTAGTGATCCTAAATGAAAAGGGGTTATTTGGACTTCCAGTACAGCCACCATGGTGGCCAGGTAGCCATCTTACAAATCTCGTTATTGCTACTTTTGAATAGATGGTCATATCAACATGAAGATTTCACTAACAGACTTTTTATGAGTTGGTTCATGGTAAAATGGTTGCTAAATCTGTTGGCCACCATGCAGTCGCCATCTTGGAAATCTAATGTTTTCACAGCATCTCCTGATGGGATAGTCATATTAACATGAGGTTTTCACTTAAAAACTTCTTATTGTTTATTGTTATACCTCAATGAAACTAGTGCTGATAGGATATTCATTATAATTGCCACATCTTAAAACCTTATCATTACTTTCGAATAAATATTTGTATCAACATGATTATTTCATTAAAAGATGTTTTGTGGAGTCCAGTTGGTCCTAAACAAAAGTGGTGCCAATCTGACATCCCATATGGAAAAACCCATCTTGAAAATCTTCTTATCACTACCCCTCCAGAACAAAAAGCCATACTGTCATGGATTTTTTTCTAAAGATATTTTATGATGTCTAATTGGTTTAAATGAAATGGTACCGATTTGAGGTTAAATATGTATTACTACAGTGGCTACCTGAAAATCTTGTTATTGTTGCTTATCATGAATGAATGCCCAAACTGACATGGGTTTTCAGTACAATTATGTGGCCATCTTGAAAATTTTGTTTTAGCTCCCCTTAAATGGGAAGTCATTTTCACCTGGTGTTTTCATCAGAAAATTTCTGATTGTGTCTAGTTTGTACTAAATTAAAATGACTAGCCCTAAATGTGTCCACCATAGTGTTTATATTGAAAATGTTTTTTGTACCACTCCTAAACAGATGGCTATATCAATATGAGGTTTTCCCCAATAGACTTCCTATGTCTGGTTGGTCCTAAATTAAAATATTGCTAGTCATAAGTCCAGTATGGCTGTTGTGAAAATCTTCCTGTCACTACCCCCCCTCCCCTGAATGGGTGACTGTCATTATCTGGGGTATTCGCCAAAATACTGCCAATGGCATATACTTAACATGATTGAAAATGGTGCCAATCTGACACCCAGTATGTCCACTACAGCAATTAATTTAAAAATCTTGTTACCACTGAAAAATAATAGATAGTTTTAACACTCAACAGTGAAAAAGAAGAAAAGGTCTTGTGTTGAATTCATTGAAATTCATTTTGCCTATTAGAATATCAGTTCTTTTAAATGGCTTTTGTTGCAGATTTTTGGTTGAAATGCACAACCATTCTTTAATTTCATATGGAACTGATTTGTATAATTGTTTCTTTATGGTTGGTAGGGTAATCGAGTAATGTTATGGAGGTAATGCAAGCTATATTATTTTTTTTATATTTGCCCAATAACATAATGATCTGTGGAAGTGATCAGATAACACAAGTTTTTAAAGTCTGTCAGCCTGCCTCATATTATAACTTGAGAAGATATGGACTATACGATAATTATATTACGGCTCAGGCAAAAAATGGAATTTGTTAGGGAATGAGTGTATATAATAATAGTATTTCTCTATTTCTTGGTTAACCGATTTATGTTGTCGTTATTATATGATATCATCTAAGGGCTGATTTTTTTAACATAATTTTGTTGGGGATGCATAGAATGATTTTATTTTCTCTGGATCTCCCTAGTAACATACTTCTCTTCGGAAGTGTTTGTGTGATAATAGTGTTTTCTTTATGTCTGACAACAGATTTCTTTTGAGGAAGGAATTCAATGGTAATATTATATATGGGTCTGTATGATAATACAGTGTAATCTTAGTGGGACGGCACGATAATATATTCTATGGGTCAGTTTCAAAGCAGACGTCTGTGTAGAGTTGATTTCACAATAATACTATTTCTCTATGTCTTGTAATAAAATTATGTTAGGAATGAAACATACAATATTTTTTGAGCTGGATGTTTATGATAGCATTATTATGTTAGAATTTATTGCACTCGAAATCACATCTGTTGCAAAGTGACATTATCAGATAGTATGCAATTATTTTGTTTAGTAACAGAAGGTTGTTGGATCCTCGCTTTCATAAAGTAATTGAATGATGTTAATATACGGATATGAAATTTACAAAAACTATCTTCTTCATTAACATGATGGCACCCTAAGAATGTTCAGGCAAACATTTACTGAACTTGACGGCATGAAAACAGTCAAATGGAAATGGATTGTGATAATAATTTGTAAAGTAATAAAATTACTTCTGAATCTAAACGGAATAATATTGGAATGAGAGGTCAAAGTTATGATGCGTGTCCTTGAAATAGAGAAAGAAAATTGTCAGTTTAATAATGTAATTGCTTCAAATATCTGAACTACAACTTCTATTGCAAAATATTATAAGCTAAAGTTGCCATTCTTTTCAAATTAAATATATTTATATATCAATATGTTTTTTTACCAGTGTAACTAAATTCTTTGATATTAATAAGGTTTCCATTTTTAAACAAGGTCAACTCGGACCTCTGGGCCGTTAGCTACAATGTCATAGCCTCAACTTATTTGTTGTGGTTCAGGCTACGAACTGATCCCATATCATGTAATGGAGCAAAAAAAATCCTCACTTAAGTCAGAAACAAATAATTTAGAAATCTACTAAATATGTATAATCATTTTGTCAAAGAACTTTGGCTTATTTTGAACTTATTAAGGTCTTAAAGGGTTAAATACATTGGCATAGTTGTGCTACCCTCACCGTGTCCACCATGACAGATAACGCAAGATTCTCGCCGTGATGCTTTTCTACATAAGGCATCAGTACACAATTAATGAAAACCGGTTCAGTACCCATTAATGTAGTCCCAGTCTATTTTTAGATCACTTTTTCCTGTCTGAGTGTGGTGGTGATACTAGAGTTAGATTTTGGCATTCTTGGTAAGGATTTAAAGGCAATTGGTTTTTATTTAAAATGTGATCTTATGGTGTGGTTGTCTGTGTGTATTTCGACGACAGTGCACATTGAGTAATAAGGTCATTGTGATGATCCCGAAGTGAAATCTGTGTTCCGTTGCCTGGTGTTTTGTTTACAATTCAGCCTTCAAAAAATGCAGGTCAACCCTTGACAAGAACTTCACCGTAAAGTCATCTTTGAAGGTATTTTAGAATAACATATGATTTGTATTGCTTGTCACACGGTGGAAAGTTCAGTACTGAGAAACAAATATAGAGACAATATAGTAAAATTGTGTTCTATGGCCATAAGGCATGTCAGACTATATATGGATATTCTACGCTATGGTATTGTTGAATGACATAACGCGAGAAGATGCATAAATGCGGAATACGGTTTTGTTGAGAAAATAATTGCTTCTTGGTGGCATTTCAAAGTCACCGGTAAACCGTATTTACTTTTAATGCGCAGAATTTCCGACTCAAACCGCTTCATATTTTTTACTACGATCTGTTTACGTTTCCAAATAAGGCATTAACGTCCTTATAAGGCACACAAACAAACGAGGTTGAGAACGGAAATAAGCATTATTTGAACTAATATGGCGGACGATCAAAACGAAAATATCGGATAAGAAAGGTAAACGAGATTTTACCACTATTTTTACAATGATTTGCGATTATTCCAGTATTAAATAAGAGGACTATTCAATTTATTTCATAATATATTAAAAAAAAACATGTCCAAAATTTTTAATATTAGGCTAAAAAAAGAGCCAGGTGTGATTCACACCCTGGTGCTCCAGTAACACATATGGACTCATGTTAGTACTTTGTCCACAAAAGGACTAAGGTACTAATATTAGTACTACTGGGTCGTATGATTGCAAGAATTTTAATGAAAAACTTTACAAGCTACATGCATCATTTTGCTTGGATATTCGACGAATACGAGTTAATTATGAGTCTAAGCTTACACATATATCATGTTTCATTAGCAGAATATAACACCATTTTGTTATACAATCATATCGAAAGCTTCTCACTGCAAAAGGTTCCCAGTGTTAGTTCTTATAACTCGCACACATTGGTTTTCTATTTAGTCAGTATAGATAAATGTTTCTAACAATCAATTACTTTTGTCAGGTCATCCGTTATCAACAAATCGCTCCGGTGGCCTAGTGGTTTGAGCGACCGCCTCGGACGCGAGAGGTCGCGGTTCGAACCCCGGCCGAGTAATACCAAAGACTTTAAAAAGTTATACTAACAGCTGCCTCGCTTGGCGCTCAGCATTAAGAGTTTAGTTTTTGGACTGATTGGCCTGATATCAGGATAATGTGACTGGGTGGGATATCATGCCACATGTATGCGGCATGATGCCCAGGTGTTAGATATCACTATAAACTGTCACACTGCAGGCTTCGTAGTGATATGACTGAAATATTGTTAAAGCTACGTTTAAAAAATAACTAAATCACACACACTATCAACAAAAGAGAAGACATCGTCGAAAGCTGGAAACATAAAACTCACAAAAACTACCCATTATATATAATGTATTATTATGATGAGATCTAAAGCGGTAAAAAAAAGTTATATTTCAAACCGATTTGATCTCTTATTTTTTTAATAATGACGTAAGCGCGTCGATATTATTTCATCCACCTAACTGACTATTTATACAATTATATTCGTTTTGAACTCGATTCATACTGTGTAGCATCATATATTTGAATGGGCAAGTGTATTGTAAATAATAAATATATAACTGTGATTGTGCTTGTTCGAAGATAGGGGGAGAGTACTCGTTTGATACAAGGCGTGAATATGTTTGAGAATAATGGTTTCGAGTTCTTCCCCGTGCCTTTGCTATTTTTGTTTCGATTCGAAGCAGAGCATATTTTGTTGCGTGTATAAACCAATATTATTTATTCGACATGATATAGCTTAAAACGTCTTTTCATTCGCGTTTTCAATGATGTCTTCATTTTTGTAGATCTTTAGATGTTGCTGTGCTGTTCATAAATTAGTCAACCAGTATATGTGTTAATATGCACATTTCATGAATAGGTGCAGAGAAAGAGAAATGTCAGGTCCAAATGATACGCCAAGGTTGAATGGTTAGCTTGCTCGACTAGCGACCAAGAATGGGTAGATTTTGAATCACACACCATGGGATAAGCTACTATAAATTTTCTTGGGCAAGGCACTTTAATCCAATTTATCTACAATAGTGTTGGACGTTTACATTCAAATTTGTACTGTTATGTTTGCACATCTATTGAAATACTCTATATATATATATATATATATATATATATATATATATATATATATATATATATATATATATATATATATATATATATATATAATATACAAAATATGGATCATTTGCTTATAGTTTAGCTAACATTACATTATTTAATTGATACGGTACGTAAACCAAACAGCGTTGGAATGCTCAGTAAGGTGACGTAGGTTATAAATCAGATTGTATTTTATCTTGACCTTATTTTGTTTCATAGCACAATTAAAAAGGGGAGAAAAACAATGAAAAATGAAAAACAAATTCCTTATCATCATGCCAGAAACCAGAAGCGGAAGAAATATATGTTGAATAGAAGACAAGTATGTATTTTATTTTGTTACAAAGCCAAAGTGAAACACGACATAGAAAAGTTTGTTATGGTAAGTCATTTTCTCCATATAAATTTTCATGCATGTCAACTGTAAAAAGTATATTGATTACTATCGATATATTGTAACAAATACATGGTATGTGCCATTTGTGCAAAAAGCAAATTTCTAGAAATAGATATCAATGTATAATATTCACGAGACGTTTTGATAGCATGGATTAGTTTATAGAAGCTTGAATGGGGTTAGAGAGCCGACTAGTTCCTATCTAATTTATCCATGACAGGGGCTGACATTTATTGTTGAATAATTGGGAAGGAGACATTCTTAATTTTGAGACGGCTTTTGTTGCGGATGTGAAGGAGATATGGTGAAGGGGCAAGGAGAAGGGGTGAAATGCATTTCGAAATTATCTTTTGACTGACTCAGTTGGAAAACAAACTATTATTGTTCAGCTTTTCGTTTGATGAAGCCATGCACATCGTAAACAAAACGAAGCCATGCATATTGGAAATAAGGAAACATCATGCAGTTATGAAGTTAGGGTTGTATATTTGTGATCATTAATAAGATTAGAAGAAAACTGGTTGTAGCCTCTGCGCGATGTGTAATCGCTCAGTTGACAATGACTGTTGTTTTGAAGTCCTGGGAAAATAGGGGGAAGAAAAGGAACTTCCTTCCAGAATTCCTGAGAGCGTTTGTTTCGCTCTGGAGAGAGACCACTTGAAACAATATTTAATCACTCTTCAATGTAGAACTATATTTGCAAAGATCCATCTAGTGATGTACCTTAAAACTCTCAACAATGACCCGTTAATGGCCACAAAGAACCATTGAAAGCTCCAAACCTATAGCTCAATATAAACACGATTTCAGGCAATTTCCATAGTCAGGATAGGATATGATCGTTTACACCCACCCACTAGTGTCTGACCACTCACCAGTTCATTTCGGCGTCATATCTGAAGAGTTTTGTATTGGTTTTCAACAAGTTCAAAACTTAGATTTTCAATCCTGTGAATCACTTATTGCAATTTATTTTACGCGATTGCAATTTATTTTTACGCGATGCTTTAGTTTGTGCCGTCTGTTATAATTTGGTCTGTCACATTTGTGTTCAACAGTATACTGAAAAATATTTTATATATGGTATTTTCAGCATCCTGCATCCTTTAAAATCCCCAACTGTCCATACTTTTGTACTCGTTCACAAAGTGCAATAACCACGACAAAGTTATAATATGCCCTTAGACGCCTACATACTATCCAGATTCCAATATCGGCATGGATTGAATGTTATCCGGTGTGTATCTTCTTAATATACACCGGTTTATGACCCTTTTACAATAAATTTTGATCAGTATTTATAAGATTAGGAATAATTACAGTAAAGTAATTTTGGCAAACATACATGGTTTTGATTACAGCAGAGAATCACATTTTATATAAACAAAACAATCTACCGGTCTTGACTACATAATTTAAGCATCTGCACTGTATGATTTCCGGGATGGTGTGATCACATTTTACTAACTTGCTCATCAATAAATTGTATCTACCTTTGTGGGCATCTATTGGGTGGGCAATAACAGATAATACAAGATGAATAAGTAGGTTGTAAAATCTTTTCCGGTATACGGGATTTTTATGCTTTTAAATTTATTGAAAGACCTAGTCGTAAGTGTTTATATCTTAAGCACATAGTGAACCACTGAAACCTTTAATCGAAGTTACCAAACCACTTTGTGTAGTTTATTTTGGCAATAGAGGTAAATAAAATCATTTGATAATGGCACTAAAGTCTTGTAATTGCCTAAATCCAGGGTTTGATTTTCCAATATCATGTTGACTTAAATCTTAATAACACCATAAACTAGTCAAGTTGTTTTGGTGAATACTGAGAACAATATATATATATATATATATATATATATATATATATATATATATATATATATATATATATATATATATATATATATATATATATATATATATATATGTATGTATGTGTGTGTGTGTGTGTGTGTGTGTGTGTGTATTCATGTAGGTATTCGGATGAACTGATATGTTAGGTTCAAGGTACAGTATATATGAGCAGCAGGGTGGGGGAACCCTACAAAATTTTGCGACAAAATCGATTAAAGCCTCAGAATGCCAAATGGAGCCTTCCTACGAAATCTCATATTTTAACCAAAAAAAAAATAAAGATCCCATTTGTAAAAAATGGAGCCTTAGCGATTTTGTCGCAAATATGTTGTCATAACCACCCTCAAAATTGCTGCCAATTGCTATCATCTACGTCGCAAATATGTTGTCATCTCGCCCTCCCTGCTGCTGATTAATACAAATGATTTGTTAGCTTTTCACAAACAGACTAATCGATAATACTTCACCACGTAAATCAATTAAATTATTTGACTGATCGGTGAGTGTAAAATTAATTCTAGTTAGCAAATCATTTTGACATTGCATATAGACTGGATTAGTCGGATTTTCAACAATTAAAT